TGTTTATTATTAACATAGCTTTCTTATACAGATATTCTATAATAACACTTTATTGCCTTTTCACTAGTTCCTGTCCATTCTTCACGAGCTTACTGATTAGTCATTATCTCACACTTGTTAAGTCATGCCAGTTTCTGCCTTTTTTCTAACTTACTTTCAGTCATCCTTTCTTACACCAAACATTGAGTAAAACATTTTTCGAGGACGAAGTTTACCAGTTTCGGATTGGTCTAAAGAAGTCCTTGTTTATTATAATTACGATTGTACAGCTCATGAAAACGAATGGTTGGAAAGAAAATTTTCTTCGCTGTTTAGGCTTTTTCTTATTTCCAATTGGTTCGATACGGGACAAGTGAAGGAAGACGACTATTTATTAATGACGCAACTAGATAAGCGTCAGAAGAAATCAAAATTTCAAATAATAAAAGATGATATAATCAAGTGGGGTTGAGAAAAGTTTTTTCATAATGGAAAGAGAAATCAACGTGTAACACACACACACGTAACACAATGCATACGTGAATGCGCAGAAATGTATTGAGGATATATTATTATTATATTATTATTATTGTTCCCTTGGGTTCCTAGTGGAACATAGGGCTTCAACTGCACGTCTCCACTTGCTTCTGTCTTGTGCTGTACTTTTCACTTGCGTCCATGTTATTCCATACTGTTTCATCTCCTCCTCACACGATCTCCTCCATGTCACCCTTGGACGTCCCACTCGCCGCTTCCCTTTCGGGTTCCACTCGAGGGCTTGACGCGCGATGTCACTCAACGGCCTCCTCCGCGAGTGTCCAATCCATCTCCACTTCCTCCTGCATATTTGTTGGGCGATTGGTTCTTGTTTCGTTTGTTCCCATAGCTTCTTGTTTGTGATTCTTTCTGGCCATCTTATCTTCAGTATGGAGCGAAGACAGTTGTTGATAAAGGTCTGCAACCTGTTGAAAATATTCTTGGTGACTCGCCAAGTTTCTGATCCGTAAAGCAAAATTGACTTCACGTTTGTATTGAAAATCCGAATTTTGTTGTTGATGGTGAGTGACGAAGATTTCCAGATTGGTTTCAGGTTGATGAATGTGTTTCTCGCCTTCCCGATTCTCGATTTGACAATTGAGGATATATTAGTGCAATAAAAATGGATCATTAGTGATGGCATATAATATATATATATATACATAATATATAACATAGTAAGTTTCATGAACATTATCAAAATTCACCACCTGACTTACTATGAGTACAGCGGAAGCCAAAAGTATGCCAGACAGAATAACTGCAGTTGTCTGCAAGTAACAGATAGAAAGTATTATGAACCGAGAATAAATGTGATTTGTCTTTTGTATTATACGAGTACTTTCAGTATCTTATTTTCCACTGTCTGTCGGTTTTCCACGTTATCCACTGCCTGACTGCATAATATGTGCAGTATTTGGTGGTTATCGACTCGCAGGCTATTGTCAGTAGCCCCTTCAATGAGTCAATATCACTTAGACTATACTCTATACAGGTGGCCTGTTAGTAATTTGATGAGGTTGTAACAATAACATTGAAAATTCAGTCCTTACTGCAGACTTGACACATATGATATCACTTACTGAAGTACATAAGCTACACACTTAAATCACTTGACTGTCGTACTAAGATCTTACCACTGGCTGCTGATAACAGCAAGATTAGTCAGACGCCTGATTTCCAGGATCGACATCTTATAGCTCGCACTTTACGCGGTGACGAGTAAGAAGAGCCAGGCTGATGGTCATCTAAAGCAGACACCATACAGATGTTAGATTCTGACTCCCCATTACTACAACTTCACCTAAAGACCTTCAACACAGTGCGAACAATTAACACTATGACGATATCTCCTTAAGTCTTACCGACCTACAGTAACACTGATCACAAACAGTGCAGCTCACTCGATCATTAGGATATAAAACGATTGAATACCACATCAAGGTGGCAGAAATCGGTCAGAATTTAAATTGCTTCAATGCAACAGATGGTTGATGCAATAAGTGATTTCGTAAGTTTTCCTGTTGTATGTTTCATGTATATGCAAAAGTTATGTGTCGTTAGTAAGTGAGGAAAATTTGAAAGTGATATATCAGTTCATATCTTCTCCATGAATCTTGAATTGTACAGGAACGGATCGATTTGCAAACCAGCGAAATGAACAAAACTGTGAGGCAATATGAGAAGCTCGATATGAAGATGTAAGAAGCAAAGAAGAAATACATTTTGCAAATCGGCGTTTCCACTTATAGTTCAAATGTCGTTTGATTGCTGAGTGAAATTTGACTAATGGACAGTTCTGCTCCAATAGAGTGGTGTGTTCTACGTTGTTGATACATATTCTTATAGAATGTCCTGTGCAATATACGATCAGTTACGCAAAAAATAGAAATTTATGAGCATTATTTGAACAATATGGGATAATCACAGGACAACTTACTACTTCAAGGAATAAATAACACGCTACTTACTTCACGCTGGGCAAGTCTAAAAGCAATTAACAGAATGATACCCAACACTGTGATTCCACCAGCGACGCTCAGTAGTATGATGCTCACTCTCGCATTCCGTTTTACAGTTCTGTATCCAATTATCAGTGTCACCACAGCTACGATGATTGTGATAATCCATGGTGCAAAAATAAAAGATCCTATGGATTTGGTTACAGCAGGTTAGGCGATAGACCATAGTAAAACCTAAAACATATAAAGATTATATTGACTTAAGAAATCGTAAGTATATTTATCTTCACAAATTAACGTTAAGATCAACGAGTGTAATTTGAATAAAGTGCTATTGCGGTACTGGTTATTAGTTTGTTTAGTATTCGAGTAGAAACATGACGGAGTGTGTTGTCTTCTCACAGACTAATAATAATGTGATCAATGTGCATTTGGAAACTAGATGAACCAACCTGAAAGTATGAGGGATTTTATGACAGAATCGACATACACCTATTTTCTTGAAAGACGACTGAAGCGAAATTGAACACCCTTCAGATAGCACGTTGATCACGTCACTTTAGTTCCCTCCGTAATATTCAACTAGGCACTGTCTATAACGAAATTAAGCAGTTTGCATAGCTTAGGAAAAAGTGATTTTTTTTATTTATTTTGATTACAGCTTGATGCCACTCCGTATTTTCAGTACAAGTGTGGATTTTTCAGCATGGATATCGGTATTCATTATAATAAAGGCTTTTGTATTTCTCAATGAATGAAAAAACAAAACGATATCGGAAGCTTAAATAATGCAGACCGATCAAAGGCATCGGGAGTGCGTCGGCAAGGGATCGAGCGCTGGATCATGTGTATGGTTGGCGAGAGTGCTAACCACTGTGCCACCTACGCACACTATAGTGTTGTGATATTCACATAGAAAATATGAAACATTTTGCACTTGTAAATAGCTTTCTCACTGGAAGTTGGAAATATCTGCCACTTGCTTCGCAATACTTGTTGACAGGAAACGGCCTGACGCTCACACATCTCAGACTAATAAATTGAAGTGATAAACATGTTTGAAACAAACTTTCCTCACTTTGTCTCATGGTCTCATTCTGAACTTTGTTATTCATGTGTATTGAAGAAGTATGTAGTGCACCGTGATATCATTGTGGCCTTTCCACAATTATTCACTCAATCAATTGCACACAGCCAGTTGTTTCTAGAAAATTTTTTACCACTATAAATGTAGACTCAACAGGTGTGTCTTCCTCATTTGCAGCAGTGTAAAACTGTTACACAAAACATTTTCAGTCAACCTAACTGTCACTGAAGTCTGTAGTCAGTAAACGAAGATTCATCAGATTTTTGCATGACTCGAGTCAAAGATGTGACTAATCTATGATGAATCAGCCTGTAATACCGAGTTAAAATTAGTGGTCCAGTCGTTGATTTATAACGATTATTTCTCGTAATTGTCAGGAGTTTATAAAAGAAGCATATATGCATTATCCAATCAAAGAAGGCAAACCCACCAAAAGTGAGATCAGTCCTTCATTTAGTGGAAATGTCTCTCTAAGTTTCTCAACAATCAATAACACTGACACGGGGATCGCACCGAGTACACTGAAAAGGCAAAATAATAGAAATAGCCAGCTAGAGAAAATCAGCGACATTATGGATCGACGTTTCACAGAGAATTAAACACTATTGGTGATGACTAGCGTTCAGTCATCATGGCAGTGTTGTTTCAGTCGAAGCAAAGTTAGTTACAACTACTTTAAGTTGTAAGAGTTTGTGAAATAAAAACAAAACAAATTCTGATACTCCATTTAGCTGAAAATTAAATTCAAGTAACTGTTTGCTAACTTAAAATCCTTCTGTAGTTCAAGCTGGGTGATTCCATTTGACCGTAGCTCTCATTTTTCGTCCACAATATACTGAATAACGTGTGTATCCGCGAAATTAGATGAACCATCCTTCGAAAAGCTGACAGGTAAATACTGACTAAATATTTCAGTTCAACTGTCTCAATCAACGGGAAATACAAAATAAAATTGAACAAATTTTAATTGATACCCTTACACAACAGGTGTCCCTCATGTGCAAGCGATCGGCACTTGGTCGAAGGGTCAGAGGAAACACCAGTTATTACTGACAATGCAGTTATATCAAGCTCACGAGTTTGAAATAGAGACAAATCTGAGTCCTTAATTCCGCCGCCAGTCACCACTATTCAAAAGCTCATCACAGTAATCCTCATGAAACTATCCTACGACAATTATAAAACCATCACAAATAAACAAATGTTGTCATTTACATCAAATAACTCACAGAAAAACCAGTGGTATGTAAAAGGCGCCGCACAAATGCTGAAGCGTTTTACTAAAATCAACAGTGTGTAGTGAAACAATAACAGTAAAGACTTACGTAGTTGCTACACCAGTTGTAGTGATCACAGTCACCAAAACCATTAAACATGTAAACATGATGTACTTGATTTGATCACATGTTATACTGAAAATACACAAACACACCTACCTTTCGAAGACAGTTTTGTGCAGCAGTAGGTGGTGGATTTGTATCCTATGAATAAAGCAGTGCAGATGTTCCAACAAACCTTCAGTTTTTCGTTCATGTTTACTTTCCACGTAGTCCAGAAATGAGCTCTCTAACTAATTATTAATCGAAATATCTAAAATGTTTGAAAGCAACCTGTGAAAGATAAGCGATGGTGACACTAGTTAGGTTGCCCAGAATTCACTTTTAAATTAAAGAATAGCACTGATTTCAAGGATAATATCCCCAGGCTATTACATTCAACAGATCATTGAAGATAGCAGGATCCAGCAGAACAATTTTCTTTCTCGTTCGGTTTATAGTGAACCTTGAAAATTTTTTCAAAATGTTAAAAATGCGCTACAGCAAGACGATATGAAGACTGATTTCACTGGTCCAGCTCAGGATGTGAACGAATTGACCATGTTTTTGAAGAATTATGAGAATGAATTCTCTAAAATGATCAGTTAACGTAGTCCTTGATCCTGGCTTTATTTATTCTGAGACTTTTCAGGGTCATGCGAATGTCTAAATGAGAAACCCAACGTGAAGAATGTTGACATTGATAGAATGATGTAGTCGTAAACTGGACTGCTTCCCAGTTAAAATGTTATTACTGTCAACATGCTGGAGAACAACACTGCTCATGAGTTTCTTAAGCGTTATGGCAAAAATCCTGATTGGTTTTTTACGCTCTACTCATGCATTACTTAGCGTTGGATCCTACTCATTCTCGACTTCATTATTTATACCAACCGAATCGATCTTATCGTACTTTAGTGTTCTTCATTTTATACTAACCTTCAGGTACTAACTGGTTCACTGGCATTTTATCATCCTTATTTCTGTGTCCAAGATCATCTAAAATACTAATCGCAGGATGGATATCAGTCCTTAAATCGACAACGGATTCTAGGCTGTGGTTACCTGCAATAATCTGTGCAATCCGCCCTTCATTATATTTAATTGTGGCTGTAGCAGTGCTTCAATAAATTTCCCTTGAATTTCTTAGACATTAACCAGTTTCTGTATTCAAAATTAGTTGACCTAAATAAGAGTTCTAGAAGGGAACACCTTTCTCAAACACATTATTGTCAAAGAGTTACATGAATAACGTGGAATCTGGTGAGTACGCTGTTCTGAAAACCCAACTTGATGTGAATTTGCAGCATCTTTTATGATCAACTGGAATTATTCCATTGCATATTTTATGGTAGCAAGGAGTGTCTCGGAAGTCCCAAATTTTAACTGACAAATATTTCAAAACAGATTATCAGTAAAACTGTTGAAAATCCATCTGTATGTGAACTCACCTGATTCTAAATTGATTTATCGTAGTTAACGCCTTAAATTTAGTCACTTATATGTTTCAGTGTAGATCAACAAAGTGTATATGCGTGGGATGCAGCAGCATTCATTGAACTCTGAACAACCTTCTATCTTCTATTAGTAGATTGATCTTTGTGAATATATTCTGGCCTTGTATGTTTGGTGAATCGTTATTACTTCTATTTTTTAGGTATTTCAGATGAGTAGAGTATGAATAAATCTATTCACATTTTTAATTCACCACATAAGTACCCTCTTGCTTATCTATGCCTGGTGATCATCTGATATTCAGCATACACCGAATGGATCCAAGTTCGGAGTGAAACATAAGGCTTCGGCACCACATCTCCATCTCGCTTCATTCAATGAAGTATTTTTAGCTGACCCTTTTCCATAGTGGGATGAAACAGCGTCCACCACTACCTAGTTGCTCAATGGCTGTCTATGTGATGACACCTACGACTAAACCTTTAAGAAATTAAGTTAATTATATCAAAACTTCTTAATCTTATTAGGGAACTGAAAACCTCACAGATGAATGAAATAATGTTTTCAAAATGAGCAATGAGAGAAAAACGCAAATGAACATAAAAATAAGGATGGTGATCAAAATGTTTTGCGACATTTGACCTGTGATTATTGTCCTTTGATCACGGAACTTCATGAGGTTTTCACCAAAATTTCATTGAGAAATGACTTTGGATAGATTCATTTCGATCAAACACATATTTTTCGGGTCCACATAGAATGGATAATAATATTCTTACTTTTGTTTTGTAAGCAACGCACGTTACGGATGGATGCTAATTGCATAATAGATTTGCTTAGAAATGGTTCACCTCAAAATATCTCATAGTGTGCTGTCAATTCTTGAAGTTATGAGGAGGCAGATTTCAACATTCAAATGAATGTCACAATAGACATCAAAAGGTCCTGATTAAATAAAGTCATCTTATATTTCCGATACTCTCAAATACTTTCTATCGTTCAGTGGAACAGATGTTTGATGTTCTGTCCTCCAGATTTTCAAAACAAATGTTGTGCCTACTTACACGAAACAGTATTAGAATGCTAGCGTCATTGTGCGTTTTGATGAATGATTTGATTAAAACGGAAATCACACGCAACAAACAGAATTGTTTGCTGACCTATTACTATTTCTCCTTTATTACACATCAGTGGCCTTCAGGTTATTCTTTTCAGGTGCTTTGAGTAAAGTAGCCAAAGGTTCCGCATTCAGTATGTCAATTTGTGTTTTATATAAGGAAAGGTATTTGTGTTTCTATGAATCATGTAATCGGATCGGTGTTTACATGGCAGGCATACTTGCGAATATCAAGCAATGAAGTAAAGTTTGCGTTTGAATATGGGGAAATTCCTGGTCAGAAAAATGATCGTTGCGAATAGAAGGGAACAGAATGCCAAGAAACCTTTCAAGCTAACCAGTTCCAGTGGGGTTAAATAAAATGCATGATTATATCATCCATGCAGAATTGGAAATATCTCACTTCGGATTGAAGTCAACAATGAAGGTGTTGTCTTGTGGGTTAATGAATTGTTCGCATTTAAATCATACAGCTCATATACTACAAGCACAGTTGGTTAATTACTTTAATTTAGGATATTTCGAATAAACAGACCCCATATATTTTTTCGGCGGAGTGTTACCATCTGTTGACAGTTTCCGAAATTCCAAATGATCGTGATTACTCTGTTGTTATCTTCAAGTGTATTTCAAATGCTCCGTAGATTTGATTACTCAGAAGTCTGTGATGTCAGTTCAAGCATACTATTTGATGAAGTAATCTTCCACGACACATTCAATCAACGAAATATTTGAGCAAAAATTGTTTTGAAGAATATGTAAGATAGTCGTGATACTCAGTAAGATACTGGGTGAACATACCACTGAGGATGGAGATAATGATGATAATGATTATTTGAGATATAAAGTTATGTGTCATGATCAGCACACTTCCCTCGTGTCAACACAGTCACAAACACACACTTCATCCAACTTATCCTCCAACAGTCAACCTCTTAACACTCACAGCCATCACCAAAAATGTTGTGATTTCACACCTGTGTTTCTCACCGTTCTTAGTTCATCATGACCGCCAGGATTTGCGTGACTCTATATTATCCACCACCACGAGTTATTCGTCAGCAAGTCAACCATCCTCTTACACATGTATCGATGAATGTCATCAAAGAGGCAGAAGGATCTGTGCAGTCCTGTCATGTGAATATCACCTGTTTTGCAGTGCCTATTCATCTTCCTTATTACGCATATAATGTTCGCCCACAGAATAAGTATCAGCATCCTTATATTCGTCGCCAATTTACCATGACTGTTATTAACTGTGATATATGTGTTACCAACGAGAAACTATGAGAACAAACAAAACAATAACCAATCGTCCAACAAATATGCAGTAGAAAGTGGAGACGGATTAGACACTCGCTGTGGAGGCCGCTGGGTGACATCGCGCGTCAGTCCCTCAAGTGGAACCCAAAAGAGAAGCGGCGAGTGGGACGTCCAAGTGTGACATGGATGAGATCGTGTGAAGAGGGACTGAAACAGTATGGATTAAAATGGACGCAGGTGAAAAGTACAGCAGAAGACAGAAGCAAGTGTAGACGTGTAGTTGAAGTCTTATGTTCCACTAGGAACCCAAGGGAACAATAACCATATAATAATATGTCTTTTTGTGCTACACTGGCTACGATAAATCTTCAAACTGGATGTCGGATTCACTAATAAATTTAACACTTATTGTTTATGAGCCATAGGTTATACCTAACTGCGACAATCGCGACGACACTAACATCCTTTATTATTCAAAATACATGATAATATATATCCCATACACATCCACAGAACTTTAAGCCAATAATGGACAGTGAATACCTCATTGATTGCATGGCTTTGATAATCCTCCAAATTGAATTCAGTCTAACGCTATCCAGTAAGATTATTAAGTCACTTCATGCATCAATCATGACTTCACGGCTAACAACGACAATTTATCCGTCTTAACAAAACTTTGCTTGCATTTCGTTTCTGTGATTCGACAGAAACTCACTACACTGTTACATCACTTATAAGATACTAATCAAATTATCTGTCTCCTGTTTTTATTGTGTGACATTTTTTTCATTGTATTCCAACATTCAGTTCTTCCTCTGAACTTGAACATACTAAGTATCAGTAATACGATTGTAATTTCTGGGTAGTGCCTATGAATTTTGGAGTCTTCTGTTAATTAATTTCAGAACACATTAACAAGTTCGTTAAAATTGATCTGCTCTTTATAACTTGCAGTCTATTCGCATCTGAAGAGAAACACATGAAATGGATGACAGTGCCATGCTGAAATGCCAAATGGTAGGGTATTTTTCATTCAAATTCATGAAAAGGAATAAGTGTTCGTATGAATTTGAGACAGATGAATACAGTCAGACAGGTCTGCGTATTTTTTTTTGAAAGCTCAATCGGGCAATAAAGAATTTTGGAGAATAATCATTGGAGTAAGGAACATGTTACCGCAATTAAGCCAAATGGAACTAAAATCCAATGAGTATAGGGTAAGATACTTGACTAGAAATTACTCAAGAAGAAAAAAACAGAATGGAGTAGTGTTCAGACAAAGTTTAATGATGTTGCAATACAGCTGGACAGAAGCATTTTCACGTAAGAACACATCAATTTAAAAATTGACGCTCAAACATGTATGCACAAATTGTGTAGAAATGATGCTTCCATATCACTTTGCTTATTTTCACCATCAAAATCCATATCCATCCCGTCATTTGT